GCTGAAATATTTTTTTCCAGGTTAATTTTAAATAACTGAAAACCTAATAAGGCTTCAAACAAAATGAATTTCACCTGCAATTACAACAATAATTTCTCACTAATGTAATGACTAATGTAATGTAGTCATAATACTATTGAGTGAATGTAATTATTCTCTTTTTTTTTGAGACGGAGTCTCGCTCTGTTGCCCAGGCGGGAGTGCAGTGGCGCGATCTCAGCTCACTGCAAGCTCCGCCTCCCGGGTTCACGCCATTCTCCTGCCTCAGCCTCCCAAGCGGCTGGGACTACAGGCGCCTACCACCACACCCAGCTAATTTGTTTGTTTTTTCAGTAGAGTCAGGGTTTCACCGTGTTAGCCAGGATGGTCTCCATCTCCTGACCTCGTATCCACCCACCTCGGCCTCCCAAAGTGCTGGGATTAGAGGCGTGAGCCACCCCACCCGGCCCATTCTTTTTTTTTTAATGAAAAAAGTGATCTTAGATGAACAGAACACTAAAGATTTATACTCCATGTGTAGTTCTGCACTAATTTAAACCAAGAATGAGTCAGTTAACAGTTGTTTGTTGTGGGGGGGGGGAGTAGGGGAGTGAGGAGTACTTGTCCATTAGTTCCCTCTCAATGATAATCAAAGAATTAACTAGATAAAAGCAAAAAAGGAAAATTATAATTCTTGCACCCAATTTCAATTCCTAAGAACTGTTTATTTCCTAAAGCTGGCTAAACATGCTACTACAGCAATAATAGAAAGCTACCAAATCTAATTCTTGACATTGCTCATCCAAAAGTAAACTCTCCTTTAAAAAAAAAAGTAAAAAGTCTCAAACAGTATAGATTACACATAACAGGTCAAAAAAAAAAAAAAAAAGATAACCTAAAGATCCTCGAGTGCCAGAAGTTTCTTTTATCTCCGATTACAAATGAATCAGAAAACAAATCTAAGCTACAGAGTCCACTGTATATAAATATTATAATGGTATCTAATTCATCTGACTCTAAGTAAACGATCTTAGTTTTAAGAAAAAACGGTAAAATCAATAAACTGTTAATTTCCTGACATATCCCTGTGCTCAGCTTCTTTGTATAAAACATTGCTGACTGGCTACCTTTGCTGCCAGCAAGAGTTCACACAACAGACAACTAGGCAAATAAAATGGAAATAAACTTAAGAAAGATAAACAAGGACATTTCTCCTCCCCCCAAAAAAGATGAGATAAAAGTAAAAACCATATTGCTACATTTGGTTTTTCTCCTTTGCTGAAGAGAAGCAGTTAGTTTTTGTAGAAAACTACAACTGTGGACCGGGCGCGGTGGCTCAAGCCTGTAATCCCAGCACTTTGGGAGGCCGAGACGGGCGGATCACGAGGTCAGGAGATCGAGACCATCCTGGCTAACACGGTGAAACCCCGTCTCTACTAAAAAATACAAAAAACTAGCCGGGCGAAGTGGCGGGTGCCTGTAGTCCCAGCTACTCGGGAGGCTGAGGCAGGAGAATGGCGTGAACCCGAGAGGAGGAGCTTGCAGTGAGCTGAGATCCGGCCACTGCACTCCAGCCTGGGTGACAGAGCAAGACTCCGTCTCAAAAAAAAAAAAAAAAAAAGAAAAGAAAACTACAACTGTTTCTCTTCCGCAAAGGAGAAATAAGTTTCTCCACTCTTCTAATACATGTCCCCACGTATTTATAAGCATTTTCCTTATTCTGCTACTTATCTGCATAATCTTGCTTAAAAACCAAACTATTTTTAGTTAAAAATAAAACAAAAAATAAATAAAACCAAAAAATAAAGTTTGGATTTAAAGTATGATCAAATATGATCAATCAGGTCACAGTAAATGCTACACTTAAAATGTAAGACATAACCAGCTTATTTTAAACACTTTAAACAATGGATCAAATTAAAGCATCTTAAGTACAGTATATATTCCCAAAGTTTAGTCAAATGAAAACATCATACAATATTCATTCATTCATTCATTTGTAAGACATTTACTGAACACCTACGAAGTGTCAGGCACTGAATTATAGATGGAGCTGACGATACAAAAATGAGTAAAATACAACTGATCCCTTACCATTAAGTGATTCCCAACCAAGAGAGAAAAAAAAATAATACGACAGTCTATAAGTACTAATGATAAAAGGAAGCAGAGGAAGCTTAGTAAACTCAAAACTAAGATTAGAAGACAGAGGGAGTTTGAGAAGGTTTCTATAGAAGATAATGCCTAAATTGAGTCTTACGGTATTAGCAGAGGTTAAGCACAATTATAATTTCCTGAGTGTGTGTGTTTGAACAGTGGGTTGGTAAATGAGGTTAGAAAAAGAAGACAGTGAAGTACGACCCTATTTCAATAAGAGGATGCAGCATCTGCAAAAGTAAAAGGCACTAGATAAGCATGGCATATCACCAAACAGCAAATACTTTACAACTATGCTGTCCGACACAGCGGCTTCTGAGCACCTCAAACGTAGCTATTCAGAATTGACATATGCGGTAAGTGTAAAATACATGTGGAATTTTGAAAACTTAGTACATAAAACAGACCATAAAACAGCTCGTCTATAATCTTTCTTATATTGACATATGCTGAAATAATATTTTGGATATATGTGGTTTAAAAATCTATTAAAATTTCATCTGTATTTTATTGTGTCTACTGAAAAAATGGATATACCTCACATTCTACTTCAAATGGACAATGCTAGCTTAAAAGGATGGGATTGGCTGGGGAGTAGTGCTAAAGTAATAATAAGTGGGACTGGATCGGGTAGAAGATAATATCACAAGAAGAATCTCTATGTCATTAATAAGTTGGTTGGTAACCAAGGCTCTCCAGTAGGGTTAATATTATCAGATCTGACATTTGCAAAGATCCATCTCTAATCCAAGAATTGGAGGGCAGGAAAGCTGGAGGAAGAATATCAATTGGTCTCGATAATCACTGACAGATAGTGTTTTTAAGGTAGTATAACTAGAGATACAGAGTACAGAATTGATTCATAAATGTTTTTCAAGTAAGATAAGCTACACTATGGCCGGGCGCGGTGGCTCAAGCCTGTAATCCCAGCACTTTGGGAGGCCGAGACGGGCGGATCACAAGGTCAGGAGATCGAGACCATCCTGGCTAACACGGCGAAACCCCGTCTCTACTAAAAACACAAAAAATTAGCCGGGCGAGGTGGCGGCGCCTGTGGTCCCAGCTACTCGGGAGGCTGAGGCAGGAGAATGGCGGGAACCCGGGAGGCGGAGCTTGCAGTGAGCTGAGATCTGGCCACTGCACTCCAGCCTGGGCGACAGAGCGAGACTCCGTCTCAAAAAAAAAAAAAAAAAAGATAAGCTACACTTGGTGACAAATTATGAAGTATGAGAATAGAGAAGAACGTGAGTAAATTCCAAAGTTTGGGGCTTGCAAAATTAGGAGAATGTGGTATTCAAGCAGGACAGTTTTGGCAGGGAAAGGTGATGGGTTCAATACTGGACATATTGAGTTTGGGATGCCTATGAATGGGAAATTTATGTGGAAATACCAAAAATTAGCTACAAAAGTTTGACAGTAACTCAAAAGTTCCAGATCAGAAATAAAAAACCGGGAGAGTGTTAATAAAACACAAATAGTGTAACCCAAAGGAGAGGAAGAACACAGCCAAGAACACAGAATAAAAAAAAAAAGAAGACAGAAGACTGGATTATGGGGAAAAACAATAATGAAATATGGTGGGCAGAGGAAGAAGATCCCACAAAGGAGTTGAAGAATGACAGGCAGAAGAAGAACCCAAGAGAAGGGTAGCATCTTTATTTCAATGGGCTTCCATTGTGTCCTACAGAATTATAGTTCTACAATACGTTTAACGGAAGAGATATGACTGACAAAAGAAGAAAAATATCTTTTCCAAAGTCACAAACTACTTTTTGATATTTAAAACGATACTTTGTCAACTTAGAGAATCAAAACAAACAATTATTTCCTATAACTTGTTTGGATAAAGATACTAGCTAACATGCAGGAAATCACAAAGTGAAATATTTAAAATTGTAATATAGAATTTAAATGTGGAACAACTGGAAAAAAAAAACATAAAATAACCACGCAAAAGAAAGAGGGAATGAGTAAAGAACTGGAAACATCGGTTTTACCATTCTAAAAAACATATAGCCACTCCCAAAAACTAATTTAAATGACTTTTGATTCCAAAGACATCGCTAATGCAAGTTCTTAACGTGAAGATAAAGGACGGGCATAAATATGTATGTGCCCAAGTACGCTTTCCAAAGAACGAAGTGAACAAAAAAGGGGTTTATATCAGATGAACTGGACCAGGGCTCTTCACTGTTAAACACTATCCCACGGTCTATCTAACGTAAACATACTGTATCTGAGTACCCACTCCAACTCAAATGTGCCAAAAAGGCACTTTTTTTTTCTTTTATTTGCTAACCATCTTTATTCCTCTCATCCCATCCCTGAAGGATGTATAGAAATATCACAGCCTGGACAAGTACGGCCTTCCACTCTAATAATAACACATCTATTATTATCCCAGAGCTACCAAAGCCTCCTTTTCCTTCTTGGCCCTTGGCCCTGCCCCTCCTCTCTAGTCTTGAGTCTCCACGGGCCTCCAAGGTTTTCGTTTTGTTTGTTTTAATAACTCTTAACCCCTTCTCTAGATCCGCCTGCTCCCTTCCTTCTCTTCCCGGTCCCTGGAAGTAAATACCCTTTCCCAGCTCCTCTCCTCCTAACTTCCCAGTCCCCCCAGTGCCGGTCAACCTCCCTTCCTCGGGACCCTCTCAGGAGGCGAGCTCTTTACTCATTTTCCAAGGTCTTCCTTCTCCTCGCGGTCCCTAAATCCTCCCCGTCGCTAATCCTTTCATCTTCCCTGCTTTAAGAACCACCCGCAGGCCCCCATCCAAGAACGCCCCTTCGCCAGCTCCCAGACGCTTCACCCCAGCATCACCTCGCACCTCCACCTCCCCCGCCGTCTCCACGCCCACTTCAAAGCCCACCTCCAACCCGCCAGCTCTTCCGCAGAGCCGATGCGGCGTCCCGCCTCTTGCCTTCCCTCTTAGGACCGAACTCCCACCTGGGGCCTCGGCGTCTGGCCGCCAAAGAGTGGGTGCCTGGCTCCTGCGGAGGCTGCGGGGCGGGTGCCGAGGTTGCCAGGCTGCGGGAGGTTTGAACACAGGGATGGGACAGGGGCGTGGACCGCGGATCCTGGGTGGCAGCGGCCGTAACCTGGGCTCCAGGGTAACGGAGGCGGAGGCCTAGACTGCACTACGAAGAGACCGCAGCCAATCATGATGACTCTACTCGAGCTGCCATTGGCCTCTGTCTCCAGACGGCCCTTTTTATTGGCTTCAGTGGAACTGGAAGGCGGGACGGCAAGTGCGGGAAAAGGCCTCTATTGGCCGACTGCTCTAGCTGTAGCGGAGACCCCAAGTAGGGAAATTGGGGCAAAGCGCGGAGCGCGCCAGGCTCCTATGGGTTGTGCTGTGCTAAGGCTTGACTGCTGAGCGTAGCGGGCTCTGAGAGGGACGTGGGCGGAGGACAAAGTGGGTTCATGAAATGAATTGTAAAATTGGCGACTGCTTAATGTAAAACACTTAATTGCTTAGATTTCCTTTGGGAAATAACTTGCTTTAAAATTGTCAACAAATTACAAACAAACGGCAAGTGCTTCTGGGTCTTCTTACCGAAATGGCTGATTCAGGAGGATACGGGGTGAGTGCACTAATGTTCCTGCCTCGAGATCCTGGCCGTGAATCACCAACGAGCCGTGAGTTTGGCTTGAAAGTGATTTTTAGGTTTTGGAACGGGTTTGGGGTGGAATGGCATCTGAAATACTGCACACAAGTTTTTTGTTTTGTTTTGTTTTTAAGGAACGTTTTGAGGAGCATGTCAGTAGCCTATTGAGAGCTGATGTGTGACATATTTTCTCTTTTAAAAATGGCATTAATTGCTGGAGACAGGGGAGGTGAAAAAAAAATCCTCTTTCGTGAGGGCTTTAAATGCTCCAAGCCATCTGATTATCAAGGTGGTTTAATACTTACTCTGGCGGTTAATTGCTCACTGGCCTTTACCACCATTCTGTAGAGAATCTAATATTTGAAGGCAAATGCTTCCCAATGAATCTTCTAACCATGAAGATTGGTAATTCCTACTTCTTGCTTAACCTCGTTTTTCCACCTTTGCACTGTTTCAAAGCTTTCATTTTATCCTGTCAATACATTATGCTTCAAGTTACAGACTAACCCACCCAAACAATATTGTGATTAAACGTAAATTTCTGTATGCGAAATATATCTGTACAAGATGGCAGTCATCTGTTAGTGAAAATAAGATGAGTAATCCCTAAATTGCACTGAATTACTTTTCATCAATTCTTTAATCTATCTCTGCTGACACTCTGTTAAAATAGCTCACTGATGGACTCTGTTAGAATTAACATGTAAATGTATGGGTGGATTACTTATAAGGGAAGATGCTAGGAAGAATCAGGAAACATGCCATATTTACGTGGACAAACAAATGCCTGTCACGGAAGCGTCAAATCAGGATTGCTGAAGGACAGCAGAGAATGAAACCACCATTTATTCAACCCTCCGAATGCTCCAGGCAGTATAATCTCATTCCATCTTCATTCATGACTCCAGACAGGTATTGTTATTCATTGTTTATACTTGAGAAAGCAGATTTAAAGAAGTTAACGTATCTACCACAAGATACTAAAGTAGTAAGTAGCAATGCCAGAGTACAAGCCTAGGTCTGCTTCCAAATTTCGTGGAATCAGATTTAGTGCCTTCAGTGTGTTTCACCTACAGGTTAAGAAGTTGTTGGTAAGCAAGAAAATATTTAAAACGCTGGGAGAGTCCAAAAAATTGTCTAGTTGTGTGTAACATATTCTCAGGATTCTTACAGTGTAAATAAAGTCACCTCCTCATATTCAAAATAACAGTATCAGTTTGACCTTGAAAAAAGACCAGAAAATTTATAAATTTACAGAAAAACTAGTTATTGAATTACTGTTTTAAAAGGTTACCCCAAAATAGAAAACAATTGTAAAAGTTTTATGATATTATATGGTTTTATATATTATTTTTGATAGGGCTAGAATTTTCTAAGATACCACTTGACATTTTATTTCATTGCCACACAGGATTCTGCTTTTCAGAAATAAAGGAAACAAAGTTAACCAAACCACGTTTATATTTCTGCCGCTTGAAATTATAGCTAACAGAAATCAGACTCTTTCTTGTTTTTAAAGATTTTACTTATGAAATAAATTCTGCAATGGTCATTAAGCACTTTGGTGTTTTATTTTTAATATGCCTGGCCTTCTTTCATTGATAGTGCTATATCTCCAGATTTGCTGTATTGCTAACTGAATGTTCATTTTCTGTAGGACTTTGATTGGCCTCTTTAACGCAATATGGCAATGATATAGCTGATATAGTGTAATTAAAATACTCCCACAAATGCTTACTAGTAGGATTATTTTCATTTCCTTTGGGGAAACTAGTGTCGAGTTTGAATTGTTAGAAGTTTCAAAAAAGTAAAGGTAGATAAATAGACTCCGTAACTGTAGACAGAGAAATTACAATAACCATCATTTGTAAAGGGGGGACATACTATATATAGTATTTTGGAAAGCACGTAAGTATAATTATCCTTAGCTAAAGTTCAGTTGTCTATTTCATACCATTCTACAAAAAAAAGAAAAGCACCGTCACAATTTTATATAATTTACAGAAATGTGATACATAAAATTCAAAAATTTTATATCTAACTTCTTGATGTCATGTTGCTTGGAAATTTTAAGTCAAAAACAGGCAAAAATCATCTAAAATGGAAAAAATTAGAACAGTTATTCACTGTGGGGATGGAGGTAGGATCGAGTGGAAGGGACTGAAAGTTATTTTTGGAGTCATGTGAATATGCTGTTTTGACTGACGTGGTAGTTAAAGACAGTTTCCGGCCAGGCATGGTAGCTCATGCCTGTAATGCCAGCACTTTGGGAGGCCAAAGCGGGCAGATCACTTGAGGTCAGGAGTTTGAGACCAGTCTGGCCAACATGGTGAGACCCCCATCTCTACTAAAAATACAAAATTAGCCAGACGTGGTGGTGCATACCTGTAGACCCAGCTACACATGAGGCTGAGGCAGGAGAATCACTTGAACCTGGGAGGCGAAGGTTGCAGTGAGCTGAGATCACACCACTGCACTCCAGCCTGAGTGGCAGAATGAGAATCTCAAAAAAAAAAGTTTCCTTTATCAAAATTCATCAAAATATATAAAAATACATGTGCTTTTCACTGTATGTAAATTTTACCTCTATTTTTTAATGGCTTAAAAAAAAATGCATTGGCTTGTATAACAGAAACATCTAGTAGACCTAGCTCCACTTATGTTTGGATCCAAGTGCTCAATATCATTACAATTTTTTCTTCTCTGTCTCTTGGATGTACTTTCTATGTGTTGGTCTCATTTAAGGCAGGCTTTCCCTTCCAGGTATGGCCACGAATGCTCCAGATTTACATTCTATTTACCTAGGAACCCCAATGGAAAAAGAATATCTCTTTCCTGATTGGTCCAGCAGAAATCATGGTATTAACTCTGACTGCCCACACCTGAATATAAACTAGTAATAATTACTGTGGCCAAGTGTTTGCTTGGGGAAAGAATATGATAAACTCCCCTTATCTTTCGTGTTCACTCAGAATAGTGAAGTGATTCTCCAAAGGAAAACTGGAATGCTGTTACTAGAAGAAGAAATCCTGGACAAAGCTAATAGATGTCCCCAAAAGTGATAATAATTTTATTCAAATAGGTTCATAGATCAGTCTGGTGGGCCTGTTTTCACTTTTTTTTTTTTTTTTTTTTTTGAGACGGAGTCTCGCTCTGCTGCCCAGGCTGGAGTGCAGTGGCCGGATCTCAGCTCACTGCAAGCTCCGCCTCCCGGGTTTACGCCATTCTCCGGCCTCAGCCTCCCGAGTAGCTGGGACTACAGGCACCCGCCACCACGCCCGGCTAGTTTTTTGTATTTTTAGTAGAGACGGGGTTTCACTGTGTTAGCCAGGATGGTCTCGATCTCCTGACCTCGTGATCCGCCCGTCTCGGCCTCCCAAAGTGCTGGGATTACAGGCTTGAGCCACCGCGCCCGGCCTGTTTTCACATTTTGTTTAAGAAAAACTCTTGTAATTATAAGTTCCCCAGTCTGTAAATACAGATGAGATTAACCAAATTTTGTTACTATTTGACTGCTTCTGCTTTATAGTACCCGACCCCTCCAAAGACTTCCCCACCAATAATTTCTGGGACTTCCTAGAGAGTGTCTCATACTTACAAACATACCTACCTCTACTGGGCATCCCACTAGGCAAGATACCAGGACCACTGCTCTGCCAGGCAACAGTCTATCCCTCTTCTCTCCAAGACCAAGCAACTCCTGCTGGTGGCCATCGTGAAGTTACTGAGTACCACCACTTACACCAGTGCCAAAGTTGAACTGCAATTGTGCCAGTTATATGCCTTTTGTTTTTCAGATCCTAGCCTGGCTTTTCTATATTCTACTTATTTATTTATTTATTTATTTATTTATTTATTTATTTTGAGAAAGAGTTTCGCTCTTGTTGCCCAGGCTGGAGTGCAATGGCGCAATCTCAGCTACTGCAATGCAACCTCCGCCTCCTGGGTTCAAGCGATTCTTTTGCCTCAGCCTCCCTAATAGCTGGGATTACAGGCATGCACCACCACACCCAGCTAATACTGTGTTTTTAGTAGAGACAGGGTTTCACCATGTTGATCAGGCTGGTCTCGAACTCCTGACCTCAGGTGATCCACCGACCTTGGCCTCCCAAAGTGGTGGGATTACAGGCATGAGCCACCACACCTGGCCTCTATATTCTACTTTAAGGTGCAGGAGCTAGGACTCAACAAACTGCATTTCCCAGACACCCTTGCTAGTTGGCTTATCAGTAGGTTCTGCTAAAATGGGGCACTTAGGGAGAGGTTGGAAGGTGGGCATTAGGGAGAAGTTCCTTCTCAATGTCTCTGTTCCTGTCAGGCAACAATTGGCTCTAGTCTAATGTGTCTTTTACTCACTGAATATAAAAGAGGAGACTAAATGAATGTGCTTGTTACTATGTTTGCAATGTACACCATTACTTTATCTCCTCCTTCTCCTCCCACCCCCAAAAAACCCATGTAAACAACAGCAAAAGAAAAAAAATCCTCCACAAAACTTTTGCCATCTTACAGAGAACAACTAACAGTTGATGA